ATAAATTGAGCGTGAGCTTTTAATATGTACACAAAAGTAGTGTGCGGTCGCGACTGTACAAAAATAACATAGATATTAAAAGAAATAAATGATGAACACCTAACTTGAACAAATTTAAAAGTTAAACAAGCTTTCTAGCGAGCTGACGTTGGTTATAAACTAAAAGAATAAACCAGCATTCAACTTTCAGATGAAAAACGAACGCTACGTGAGTCACAATTTAGTCATGTTGGTGTAATAAATATTGTTAATCATTTCTGAATTAGGGGCATATCATTACTGATGAGAAAACATAACGAATCAACTATGGAAAAAAATAATTTCTTTTCTGTTACTCTATATTTAAGCTACATATAGCAGTCTTTATAAAGGTATAGCGCAATGTTTTAGTTAACCCTTCTGAAATCGTCCTTGAATAGAGGCATTCTATTTAAGTGGTTATTTAATTCTTTAAAAACTAATTTAACTTAACACTACAGGGCCGTGTCAATGGAAGGACTCAACATATTTGGAAGGTTCATGCTATCTATTGTTCAAAGATACTTACCGTGACTACGACGAGGCAAAGGTAAAAACTTTTTCACAACATATAATGAATTTTTTCAACATTTCTATATTTTAATTCATAGCAGTACAACTTAAATTGTCCAACAAATTTGGTGTTAATATTTTTAATTTGGTACATTGTGTCCTTTTTTAAAATTTAGCTACTTTTAAACACTAGATGATTTGCTTGCATTTATTGAATTTGTTTAAACGTTTAGTTAAATAAATTGGATGAAATATTATATTAGTTTTCAAATTGTTTTTAACAATATATATTAAAGTGTTTGTTTTCCCTTTTATATAAATTTTATTTTTTCAAATATCATTAATCTTTGATGATTAAAATTAGAGTTTGCAACAACAAAATTAATCGTAACACCATGTTCATCTAAAGACGCAATGCGCAAGTCAAGGCGGAGTATTGGCTTCTATAAACCCAACGCAAAACTTCTCTGATGTCTTGGCTCCGTTATCGGCAGGTATTTTCACATCATTTAAATTATTTTCAATTATAGTTTTTTAATAAAGTGTGTCTTTTTATTTAAAATATTGAGTCACATTTTTAAGCCTCCCAATGACAACTGCGTTAACATCTATGTGGAAAGCATAGTTTTCTATAGGACTCGTTTGCTCTTTGCTCTCATAAGGCATTTTATCGATCAGTTCCTAAGTTTTAGTTGTTTTTGTTTTGCTCTTTTAAATATAATATATATATATATGTATATATATATATATATAGATAGATATATATATATATATGTACTAGTATATGTATATAGTAGTAAATATCACCGATATTGTCGAGATAATAAATGCAAGGAGTTTGCGATAATTCCCATTCCCGCCTGCTTTTGCGAAAAACTCATCACAATTCCTTTTTTTTTTTAACATTCTAACATTATTAAAAGTCTTAATAAGTAGGCTTCTGCTATAATTTATTCGCCTACTCTAACTCTAAGGCCCCAAAAACTACAACTTTTTTTTCTCTAATCATGACCTTAAATTACAACACCAAAATGATCACTCAATTAATCGTTATGTACACTAAAAAATAAAACATTTACGGTTTATTTCACGGTAGATAAAGACTGAAGATGTCACGTGCTTTCAAAGTGTTAATTGTTGGGCCAACCCTGCAGCCACCCTTAACTAAAAAGTTTTTTTCTCTAAAATTGTGAAAACTTAAAAAAGAAAAAATTACACAAAAATACCTCAATATTAAATATATTTTATATTTACGGTATTTGATATACATATAACTTCATTAAAAATTGAACCAAACTTTTGCCTTTGTTTTCTACTATATTAGGGAAAAACGTAAAACAAAGAATTCTATTAAATAAAGAAAACTTTCTAACAGTTTTTCACGCCTGTAAGGGCCGTGCATGTCTAATTTTTCACAGAAATGTGATTAATCTCATAAAGATATACACCCACTTTACTTTTAGCAAAGTAAAAAACAAAAATACATTTTTTATTTTTTGAAATAAAAGGTTAAAAACATCTCTATTTTCAAACTTAAATTTTCACTCATTTGAAATTATTAGGTTTTAATATTTACGGGTATGCTTATGGGAATTTACTGACATTAGTTAAAGCCATTGATTTTCTTAAATGGGCAACACATGAGTGTTTGTAAAAAGAGAATATAACATTTATTTTTCACAGATGTAAGATCATTGTATTTAAAGATATTGCCATCATCGTTAACATGTACACATATTATTCCCTAAACCCGATATATATGTGGATTAATAAGTTTTATTATTTATCAATTTTTCCTTCATTCTGAGGCGTATCTCTTGCTGCCCGGGGAAAAATGAAAGTCTCGATCCCACGCCCACAGATTTTAATAAAATCATCCACGGGATTGAAGTCCCTTAAAAACACAATTCTTTTTTTGCACCCCATTTTGGTTTGTTCGTATTTAGATGTGCATTAGTAAATACTATTTATATATGGAGCTTAGCTTCACTGATTGACTTAAGCGGAAGTTTCTTATTGAAATTTTATTGTAAAGCTTAAGTTTTTATTACGCTTTAAAATGTATAAAATTTAATGTTAAAAAGTAAAACCGTATTAAATGTTAAAAGACAAAGTTAAAGTGTGCTGTGCTGTATTCACAATTCAATAAACCATCAAATCAATGTATTAAACTTTTTTTTAAAAAGGGGAAATTCCATGATACATTTGGTCACGCGCAGTTGTTAAAAGAAAGAAACTGAGAGCTTTAGGATAAAATAGGCAATATGACTTCATTTGCATGTTTATTTTGAATAGATTAATTTTAATTTTATTTCGCAATATTAACAACGCTCTTAAAACGCACTAAAAACAATAGAAAATTTGGTTTTCTCCGATGAATGCGATTACGGTGCAATTATTATATTATCCTTTTTTTCTTCTTTTTTTTACTAAACTTTCAAACTCTGATAAAATGCTTAAAATAGTTCTTTGATTGTTACTTTAAATGTATCTGTAATGTATCTGTAATGTATCTGTAATGTATCTGTAATGTATCTGTAATGTATCTGTAATGTATCTGTAATGTATCTGTAATGTATCTGTAATGTATCTGTAATGTATTTCAATAGTACGTAAGCATTTTTTTAAAATAAAAGCGGAAGCTTTTTTAATACTGTTTTTTCTTTTGTTTTATTCGCTGACGAAAACCTTCTGCCGACACGTTTGGTGTTTTGTTGTGTTTAATTTTTCAGGTTTAACGCTACTCTGTCTTACACATTTTATATTTTAATTAAGTAATAAACGGCCACAGCTTGAAACATTGTGAATCATCCTCGAAAGGGACACATTTAAAAACTATTAGATTCATCTTTAAATAACTGTTTTGGCGCGGCTTAACTTGAACATTAAATGCACAGGGCTGGGCAAAAAAATATTTACTAAACTTCCTAAAGTAATAAATATTTCTATTTTTACGACCTTTAACATTTATATTGCTTTAGAAGGCCATTAATTTACATTTAAGCTGATAAAGTTTAAAACATTTTTTTTACAGAGTATTTGCGAGTATATTATAAACTTGAAAATATGTGTGCGTGTGTTTCTTCCGCATACATATCCATGGCACAAATATCCATGATCCAGAAAATAATATATGATTCTTTCTGGACTGTGGTCATCTAAATCGACCCTCGTCCGAATTCCGGCGATGCGTGTCCTGGTCCATTTTGACTAGATCTATTCAGATGCCATTTGTGATTGTTTCTTTGAGTTAAACTGAAGAACTAAGTTTAAAAACATATAGGCCATTCAATTATCTTTCATTCGCTACCAAATTTTATCTTACAAACCCAAAAATGATATTTTAAACATTTTTTTAAATCCCAACCTCTCACTTCTGGTAGCCGGGTCCGAATAGCCACTTCGTTTTTGAATATCTCGAAATCAACATAGTACTCATTCATTTGATTTTTTCATATTTAAAAAACCGAAAGGTAATGAACTCATTATATCCAATCCTTTGGGTCTGGTGGGGTGGGGGGGGGGGTGATGGTGGTGCCATCTTCATTTTTCTTTATAAAAGCAATAAAAATACAAATAGGTTTAGACAACACTATAGGTTTTATGTAACATGATGGATCTAGGCCTAGCTTAATAGCAATGCTCTTTATAGTCCGTATTGAAATACCGGTGGATTCAACATTAATAAAAATACAAACCGTTCAGTGCCCGTCTAGAATTTCCAAGAGAGTTTGAGAATTTAAAAAAAAAGCTAGATCTACATATATGGGATGTTTAAACAGATATAAGGGATATTTTTTTTTTCAATTTTAACCCCGTTATTTAACAGAATGATTTTTACAGGACTACGCCCCTCCCTATCTGAGGCATAGCTAAACCGGTAAACTTATGGATTGGGCACCTACCAAAATGGGTGCTCTTTTTAACTTAAATGAGAAACGTTCATACATTTGGCATTTTGTTTTATGATTTTTCGTGTTCGAAAATTAATTACTTAGAAAAGTCAATGTTCGCAAGTTTTGGGGAGGCTTTATATTAAATCTAAAAGCAAACAAACTGCGTGGCCAACCGTTGGATCATCGGGCGTAACATCTAGATGTCATATTTCATAATCGAAATGGCTGTAAAATTACGTGTGCGTACAAAAGATCATCTTCAAGTTTATTATACGCTTTAAATTAATGGATTGGCGTGGAGCCAGATTGACAGCATCTAGGGATTAAGGGGCGGAGACGACAGGCCACGAATTGTTGTGAGTGAAATTATTTGATGAAGCAGGCCAGAGTACACTGTATGCTGTAGTGCCACTGATGATGATCTACTAATTTTAATTATGTTCCCTAATATTAATATTAGCTGGAAAAGTACATTTATTTTGCAAACATTGTTATTCTCGTAGTAAACGAGTGAAAAATGTATTACAGATAACGAAATATGGATTGGAGCCCATAGAAAGACTGGAAAGTGGGTATGGTTATCTACAGGCAAGGAAGCCACGGAACTGAGTCAGCTTTGGGCTAATGAGCAACCGAACGAGAGCCCTAATAATGATTGCGCGTTCGTTTATATGTCAGAAGTTTACACCGACTACTGCGGTGACAGTAAATATACTTTGTGCATGGAAATAGGTAAGATATTGATAAAGAATCTTTATTTAAGGTATGCATTTTTAAAAATGATGTGTCATCAACGGTATTTTTTAAAGATTTCTTTTATCATGCTTTTATTGAAAATACTTTGTTGCCATTCAGACTTGGTTGTTACAGTTCTCTCAGTTTTCCGAAAAATGAAACAGTCACTCCAATCAAAAAAGTTCAGAAACAAATGTAGAGATTTTCTAAAAATTCTGTTTTCCTAATCTAATTCATTTCAATATTTTTTTTAGTTAAGAATCGAATAAGGAAATTACAAAAAAAAATTAATTACTTTCTATTACACATGGATTTCAGTAATTTATAAATAATTTTTAGTCCTTATGTCCTTCTCTTATGTTACAGAGTTAGCCACGTCTACCGCTGTGACCACCACGTCAGATTTGACAGGTACTAACAATTCCATCAGATAATAATAATAATAAAATATTATAAGATAACTGTAACGTTTATATGATGTAACTTTTTTGGATGGTGGCGTTTATGGTTCAGTATAGCTGCTCATAAACGTTAGCTAATAATGTGGTGCTTTTCCTCAAAGCAAGGGATGGCTTGTAGGGGTTGCAAAACCAGTCCCTTTGGCCCAAACTGGTATTTTCGATATTGATGTTTACGAAAACTGGTATTTTCGGTATGTATATATATATAATTCGCCAGCAAAGGTCAAACACAACCACGCAGGCTATATAGAGATACGCCAGAGTGGGGTTAAATAATGAGTTCACTAGCGCGCAAAATATAATTCCCGATAACCACGCTAAATGTTATATATCTAGTTTAAATAATTCTGTTTGGGTCGTAATATTTTCTTTTCGGAAATTAAAACAAAGTTTAGTTTCAATACAGTCGATAATTCTGCTACATTCTTTTTTTTTTAAATTTCTCGCAGTAGTAAAACAATTTATCGTCTGGATATAACGCCTCCCATATCTAATGGATAGAGCAACCTAAGAGTTCAAACTAATTTTTATGTCACTAGAATGAGATAGGGCCCTTGACTGAGGAGAGAGGAAAGCCCTAGTTGCAGCTTTTCAGACTGTACGCAGAATCCACCAGCAGACCGTCATGCCGCGTGAGCAAAAACTTGCAATGCTGAACCTCTGCATTCGTATACCCAATTTAGCAGACAACTTAAATTTATAAGCTTAAGTAAAACAACTGAACTGTTAGTTGTTTACTAGTAGACTTCTCTAGCAATTTGGCTGTCGACACGACAGTGGAAGACATCGTATCATCCCACAGCCCAACCAACAAAGACGACGCATTGTATCTCAACGACGAGATCTCAGACAAAAAAAATATTAATAACCAGCGGTATGAATCAATGCAGCTTACGTAATGCATATTTCTATTTTATCTTCCGTTGTCCTCCGGCCCATTTTCAAGGACTGTAACGGTTTTGTTGTTGTTGTTTTTTGTTGTTGTTTTTTTTTTGGGGGGGGGGAATCTCTTAACACTACGTCAGTTGGAAAGTGCGCAGTTGTTGTTGGTTTGTTTGTTGTTTTTTTTTTATCGCACATACAACTTTTAAAGGGACAAAGAACTATTTTAGTCCAGCGATTCATCATTCATTCATTAAAAAATTCAAAATGAGGTGCCAGTCACTATTAAGTTCCTTCTCTCACACATGCAAAGAGTTCGGATCGACCATAGTCCTATAGGGGTAAGCCTAATGGAGCGGTAAAATTTCCGATAAGTTTGTTCTGAAATTTCCAAATCATTGTCCATTAGGATGAAAGGCAGAAGTAACTTTACAGAGACAACCAACCGCGTGTCTACTAAGCGTACGTATTCAGTAAGCACTACAGTAATATCACATGTACTCGCCATTAGCCGAAATCAAATTGCTTCCCCAAAGATAACCACAGTGCACGCTGTACAATCAATAGCAAGATACCTTGCCTTCCACTTTGGTTCAAGTACGGGCCAACAATTTAGCTTATGGTTTCCTTACTGACTAGAATTTGTCAGAGCCGGCACACTGGTCGCTCTCCAAACAAAATTTGATGCAAGATAATGACGTGGGCATAAAACCATGAAGGATGCGAACTTTAACACAAAGTGATGACCATTCAGAATGGGAGGTTAATAATCTATCCAATAGGTTTAGAAGCTGTAAAACAAACATGTTCTCAAAGTAAAGCAAATGTCTTCAAATGACAAGGAAAAAAAGTGCTTTTCCATTGTGTTTTAACAGCCTACTAATGGCAAAATGAAGGCATAAAATATATTTAAATTCTTCTCAAATAAAACTATTTTAATGTTGTATTACCTTTCAGACATGCATCAAAACGTAGCCACGTGACTATTGTTTGTAATCAGACGGTTTCCTATAATTTTAGTTATAACACATTCTGAAATCGTTTTTGCACAAAAAATTATATTTTGTTAAATGCTTGCTTCACCTTCAACAATTAATTAAACTTAACATTACAGGGCCGTGTCAATGGAAGGAATCAATATATGTCGAAGGCTCATGCTTTCTATACTACAACACTACACAAAAGACCTATGCAAAGGCAAAGGTAAACACTGTTTTAACCAGGTTTCGAAAATGTCAACAACAAGTTTGTATTTGAATGTATTGTAATTTACCTTAAATTGTCATAGAATTATGAGGTTTTGAAAAAAGTTTAATTTTATACACATGTAATGTAGTTTACGTTAGACTTAAGTTAACATTTAAAAAAAAAAAACAATGTGATGTTAAGTTTTGCAAAAGCGTAATCTTTTAGGGAACATTAAATTTTATTGTCATCACCATCTAAATGGGGAAAACTAAATTTGTTTGAATTTTATTACATTTAATTCAAAAGTGTAGTTCTCTATTCAATTGAAAGATAATAAAATGTGTTAAATAATGGATTATTTTTTAAAAACATCGTTGAAAAGACACACAAAGTAAATGGATGATGAAAACCACCACCAAACACGTCCTTACAAAAACGACATAAACTTTGACCAACTAAATTACAAAGCAAAACTGATCGGAGGTTAAAAAGAACATTTATGTGCACTTCAAAATAACTCCCAATAACAGTAATGTTTTATTTTCATCCTTCAGCTTTATTGCGAAAATCTCGGTGGAGTATTAGCTTCTGTAAACTTAACAAAACAAGTCAAGGACGGCTTGAGCTCATTATTATCAGGTAAGTTTTGAATCATTAAGGTTAATTTATTTATTTTTTTAAAATCATCATTGAAAATGTGCGCATGAAATTCAGAATAATTTTAACCTGATACCCACGATAGTCCTTATGGCCAGCAGGTTATGCCTCAGTGGTCTCCAACTCTCGATTGGTCCCATTGGGCATATTAATATAGTATATATATTTAGTTGTTGAGTTTTCGTTGTTTGTGACCTAAACTGATTGGTTAGATCTTGCCAGATCAAGTAACCCTGCCACTGAAAATGGTTGGGTGGCTTAATAAGAGCGTATATTGATCTACTGATATTATTGAACCGGATACATTTAGATAAAAAAAATATTTTTGGTTGTTAGAAATTATTGTAATACCCCTGGACACCACCTTAAACACACGTGTATCGTTTTTTAATACAGTGTTTTGATATTTTATTAATGAGCACAAGAAAATGAAAGAAAAGAATGTAAAGCTATATCTAAAGGAAAAAAATCATGAAATAATTCATACTGACTATTTTCAACTTCACCCTTAAATTCTTTAAATAAATTGTACAAATACAAATCTAAACAACAATTCTAAATACAGTAATGTCAGTTTCTTTGAAATATCCCTTCAAAATTTGGGCTCAAATAGCTCATTGGCAATTCATTAAAAAAAATTAGCTGTTAGCAAGTAAATTAATTTTTTTTTATATTACTTATAAACAAACTTCGATGCTTCTGGGTGCTGTCCATGGCTGGACAGGGGTAGGTAGTACTTTGGTGGGTGATGTCAAACTTTCTTACAAATTGTTGTTCTTAAATGTATAATTTTATGCACTTTCTAATTTGTAATTTGCTGTATCAACAAGCTCAGAAATGTTCTATCTATTATTAAGAATTTTAATAGATATTTGGCTGCAAAAAAAAAAAACAAACACCTTCAGTTCTCTGGTACATTAAGCAGTTGTTTTAAATAGGTCGTAGTAGTCATCCGTGCGATCCCTTTCAAAGTTTAAGCCTATCTGAGCATTGCTAAGAAATGGTAAAATGTAACTAGGAAAATCATTTTTTTTTTTAAATCTAAGAACATTTGGAAGATGTCGTAAATAAGTGTTAAAATTATTTTTCAATACATCAATCATTTCCTCTGCATTTATAGTGAATGCCATTTAACTTGTAACATGCCTGGAATACTATTCTAAGACAATACAGAGATCCATAACCAGTCATAATACCACATTTTTCAAAGTTTATCAAATCGTGCATTATCTTTATGCAATCTGCGCGACATCTCTACCTATAATCAGTGGCGTAACTAAGGTTGGTATCGCCAGGTGCTGTCTGCACCACAGCCCAGCTAAGCCACGGTCTATAATGTTTCCTAATTTAAGCTCAAGTTAATAAAAATTGTATGGATGAAAGATCAAAGATGAAACTGGATTTAAAAATGATACTAAAATACAAAGCATAAAAAAATTACATTTCCTTTTTTATCTAATTTATATGGAACGTACTCCACGTAACAAGCCAATTTTCAGCAATTAGAAATTTAAAAAAAAAAAGGATGATTAAATTATACAAATTTAAATGTTCATGCTGTCACTCGCCCGTTAAGGAAACTTACAGATATTAATAAACTAAGACATTTTCATCAATATATGTATCTACACACTAGCTGGAGTATCCATTCTAGAGTTCTTTTGCACAATTTCTTTTGCTGCTCTCGGACACTACTTCTCAGCTAAGTGCTATATGTTTTTGTATGTATATTATTTCTATTTTTTCTGTTGTTGTTTGCTGACTAAGGCTTCCTGCCGACGCGAGTGTCTTACTACCCTTCTGTACAGACTTTCTTTGGCCTCATAGAGTGTCTTACTACCCTTATGTACAGACTTCCTTTGGATTCATGGGGTGGGGGCCCTATAAAAATCATTCAGATAAATTAAAGAATTAAAATTTAAAATTTGTCGTATAAAAATCGGATAAAAAATACCACTGTTATAGCTTTTTAAAATTATGGAACTTTCTAGAAAATTCTATATTGGCCCTGCATGGTTTGGATAGTCTTAGTATAAAATCCACTGACATTTCAAATAAGAACGATGAAGTGTATTGATACCAAGCTTGGCCCATATCAATCAATTCACATAGAATCCACAGTGTTCTCTAAGCCGATTGATATTTAATTTATAAAGCTTAAATAAGTAAAAATGAAATGCCCATCCCCCCTGGCCACAGAAGAATGGATATTATGAGTTCAGTACACTTCGGTATTTGAATATGGATGATCAAGTATATGTGTACTAAGTTTGGTAAAGATCCATCAATTCATGTTTGACTACTAAGCTAATTGATATTTATATGGCTTATATAACAAAAAATGAAACGCCCACCCCCCCCCCGCCCCAGAGGAATGGATATTATGAGTTCAATACCCTTCGATATCTTAATATGGATAACTAAGTCCGGTTGTACTAAGTTTTGGTCAAGATCCACCCATTCATGTAGGAGTATGTTTTAGTTTTTTTTAAAAATTCATATTATACTCATATAGGAAAAAACGTCATTTTGGGCCTCCAGCCCCAAACGGAATGTTATAAAAAGTTCATAACCCCTTCAGAAATCCTTATGGATGATGATGGATATGTGTGCCAAGTTTGGTCAAGATCCATCAATCCATGTAAAAGCCTTTGTGGAAGAAACCCACAGACACACAAACTTTCACTTATATATATATATATATATTTATATATATATATATATATATATATATATATATATATATATGGTAAAATATATATATATGGTAGAATATGATATATATACATATATATATATATTTATGTGATGATTATTATTTAATAGTTTGCATGATGATAGATAATAAAGAAAGTAGTTAGAGGAAATATTATACAAATATAAGTTATTCGCGAAATAATACACTGCAGATTATGAGAAGTTATTTTTTTACAGGATCGGAGACATGGATTGGAGCCGACAACAAGACGGGAACATGGACTTGGTTATCTACAGGTCAAAAAGCAACAGAACTGAATCTATTTTGGGCGTCTGGTGAACCACGCCAAGACCCAGTGAATATGTGCGCGTATATTCTAAACGCGAAGGCGTACAATGGCTACTGCGGTGATAGTTGGAATTTTTTGTGCATGGAAATAAGTAAGATATTGATGATGAAACCTTAAAAAAAAGATCTGCATTTTAAAAATATCTTTCTTTTATTTTATTTTTTTTAATAGTTCATTTTTTGTGGTTTATTTTTAGTGGCTCAATTTATTTTATTGAAGTCACCAAACAAGTATTAGCGGCGAGTCTTACTCATTTCATTCGTGAAGAGTAATTCCTCATCTCTTGGTTCCAAAAATAGTATAAATGCAAATAAACTGGTGTAGATCTTCATGACGAACCACTCTTTTTTATACACCATATATTTAGAATATTTTAATGAGTTCTTTCTTTTAATTATAAGGTTGTTATTATTAGATGACGTTGAGTTTTCCTTAATACAATTTAATCACTATTGAGAATTAAAATGCACCAGAAAGACACGCATAAGTTTTCTATACATGTCTAGATCTATAGATTTGATTAAATTCAATTACAATTTTAGTTTTTAAAGCTATTAAATGAGATTTAATCAAAATTACCCGTTTATATTATAAAGGGTTTTAGTAGTTTTTTCTGTTTTTTTTTTTTGTTTTTTTTTTTTTTCATTTAAAATAATTTTTTTCTTTTTATTAGTTTTTAAAGCTATTAAATGAGATTTAATCAAAATTACCCGTTTATATTATAAAGGGTTTTAGTAGTTTTTTCTGTTTTTTTTTTTTGTTTTTTTTTTTTTTCCAATTAAAATAATTGTTTGCTTTTTATAAAAAGTAAATATTTACTTTCTTCTTATTTGAAAGATTTGGCTACGACGACCGCTGCGAACACGGCATCAACTTTGACAGGTATTTTATTAAAGACAAGAGGCGTAGCTAGAGTGTTTGGCGCCCCCGGGACAAAGATTCATTTTGAAGCGCTCCCGTTTCTTTTCTCAACTCTCCAACCCATCACTTTCCTTACATAAAATAATATCAAACCACATTTTGGCGCCCCTAACTAGTCAGGTGCGCATGAGCATCTGACTCCCCAGCCCCACTACCCTTTTAGCTACGCCTCTCCTTATAGTTATAATAAAATAATTAGTCTAACATTAACTGCGGTTTCTTTGTCTATAATATACTTATTACTTAGCGTTTTAATAGTAATGTCAAGTCACTAGATTATTAAATGGAAATTTAGAGCCAATGGAGGAACGTTCACATTCAGCGGTGAGCATTTATTTAAATCCGCCCCAGAGCGTACCGAATGAAAGAATGTGGTGAAGCAGGCCAGGGCCCAACATGGGATAAAGCCCCACTGATTAAGACATTTCAGACTTTTTTTGGGGGGAAGCGCTAGAAATAGCCATAATAGGACCTCGATAACTCTTCAACCAGCCCATTATTAAATTAATTCATTCCAGTTGGATGCCCTTAGGGTATGTTTTTTGTCGAGAGATACTCCATAGCTTAGACTCGCCCCGTTAAAATTTATAGGCCCTCGAAAATTTTGATCAATGCAAAATGCAAGAATGCATTTTTATGCATTGTTAAATTTAGTTTTGCACCATTCTACACTCAACTGGAGAGCAACGGGACAGATACTAGTTAAGATTGTATGTGTCACTTGACTTTCGCGCCATCGTGTGAGGTCTGCAGCCCGTATAGCTGCATGGGGCCTCGTATATTTTAGGGGCTTAAAGATGTGCTGTAATTAATTTAAATTATCCACTTTTAATGCTATGGACAAACCCGAAAAAGTAGCAGGATGACACAAAAAGTCAAGCGACGTCTCGCCTGGACTAAATGTGTTGTAAAAAAAAAAATTTTAAATAAATTTATTGAAGAATTTTTTTTATAGAATTTATTTAAGATATTTGAAGGGTAAACTACATAAAAAATAATGAATTGACTACAAATTGTTTTTTTTAAATTTAAAAAAGAATTCCTTCCAAAAAAAGGTATCCATCACAAAAAAGAAATGCTAAAATAGTTTGACATTTTGAACGAAAAAGAAAAACCAAAGACATACGTTTATTCCTAAATATTTCGAAGTTTTACCAAAGTCAAGAATAAAATAATAAGTTTTCTGTATAAAGGGCTATACATTTTTATGAGTTTTCAAAATTGGTATTTATTTATAAATCGTATGTAACCGACATAATTGTTAAGAAGACATGAGTTGTTTACAAAAGACATCACATATTTATTAATGTGTGATTATTTGTGAAGGAAATGGCATTAAAATAAAGTTTGAATTCTCAATATTTAGTGGATTAAAATGTTAATTTAGATTTTCAAATTAATATAATTTGCTTCACTTCAATTACTACTTACCTATTATATATTATTTTTTATATATTTTTTTCGATTCAATTGAATTTATTTTTAACTACCACCAAAAAAATGGCATTTACAAGATAATCGAAATTTTTGGGATTTTTTTTTAAATACGTAGTTTATATATACATTGTTTTTACAGGATTATCAATCAAAAATGAATTTTAAAACAAAAATTAGTGCAAAAAGCTGGGGAAGGTTGTCTCTTATTCCGATATTAAACAGAGAAAAGTCGTTGGCGATTTAATACATAAAGGCTAAGTATTTGTTTGAAAATCAATTATTTTACTTTTTTGTTCCCGAAATTGTGTTACAAAATTAGAAATGCACTCGATTTGATAATAATTGATGAAATTTTCACTATTTGTAATGCAATTCCTAATTTTTTTGTTTTTAAATATCGTGTTTTTTTTTGTTTTTTTTTTTAAGTTTTCATTTTATCTAACTCAATATACATATATGTAATGTACTACATTAAAATGTATGCTAAAACGCATTTTTTAAAAGCATGATGCTATTTTACATTTTATAATTAACCCTTATCTCTACTTTAACAAGCATCTTTTATGATCTAATATAATTTGACAATTTTCTATTGATAGCCGTTTATATCGATGTAAAAGTAGTTTAATACAGTGTTATTTAAGGCTTTCAACTTGTCAAGCTGCACAATATAAATAAATAAAAATACCGATATAGGCGAATAACAAAAGTAAGATTTTTGGCTGATGATCAGGAGCGGCCAATTTTCAAAACAATACGATATTTAAAATCGAATTCTGTGAACCTTATTATATAACATCTTAGTATGAACACATAGCTCAAATATCAGTAGTGAAATAGTATATATCATCTTAGTTAGAAAAAATAAATCAAATAGCAATAGTGAAATTGTACATAACACTTAGTATGAACAAATAGATCAAATTAGTTTGCACAATAAATCGATGTATATTTCAACTGTCTCTATCAGGGAATCGTAAGTGTGGTTTCTTTTGCCTGCCATGTTTGTTACCTCTTGTGTTGGAATATTATTGGTGGAACTTTTTGGCAGCAGTGGAAATCTTTAAATAAATATTTTTGTCTGAATTTTCTAAAAAGGATAATCATATCTCATCATGTTTATTTTATATGTAAATCACTGAATAAATATTAAGCTGCCTGGGTGTAGCCTAGGGTCGGAGGTTACCCATAGATAAATTGTTTTTTCTTGTGTTTTCTTTAAAATTCATTTTGATTAAATAGTTTATTTAATTTAAAAAAAAAATTAAGGTAAAATTAATTCCATGATGGTCGAAGGTGCAACATCTTAAATTTTGTTCAACCTAAAAACCTCTAGAAAACTGACATTCACAATAGCAATGCTGTAAAGTGTTTAAGAACACAAATTAGTTAAACCAATTAAGATTAATAAATGAATAAAGTTCCTTTAACATTACAGATCCGTGTCAATGGCTGGGATCAGTTTATTCGGAAGGCGCATGCTATCTTTACAACTCCACTGCTCTCACTTATGTAAATGCAAAGGTAAACACTATTGAACAATCTCTGAGGAGAATCAGCAAGTAAAATTATGTCATGCAGAGCTTTATAAGAACATTAAGCGGGTAGATGAGAATATTTTGCCACGACTATTGATCAAAGGAATATCAAAAGTCCTCAAGGATCAAAACCATCAATACTTTTTTTATTTAATCGTATGGCGAGAGTTTATGGTTTAATCTACTCTTCAAATCATCCGTTAAGATACATGATGGTAAAAATATCAAATTAAAAATGAGTATTATCATAAAATCCACATATCCAATATCAGTGACTTCAATAGTTCAATTGAATATGAGTTGATGTCTAGGGTAAGGTAATGACGTAACCTGTCAATGATTTCAAAAATTTAGTTATGCAGCAAAAAAATTGTTTTTATCACAGTAACCTTAAATGTTAATATTTATTTTCATTTTTACTATTATTAATTTTGTAAAAGCGAAAAGTTCAATTAAAGGCTTCATTTAAAACGTGAAACTGCAATAAAAGGCAACAAAACTAAAAAAAAGTCATTCATAGAAGAAATGTGTCTTTAAATATATTTTGAAAATTATATTTAATTGAAACTGAAACTTCATCGTAAAAGATTTATAATTATTTTATGTATTCATATTATTTTGCATCCTGTCTATAAGAATAGTGTGTATATGACATATCTTTAATTTTGATCAAATTAAGCTTTTGTCTTATAATGAAAATTAAACAATAATTAATAAACTTGAGTCATTAGTTTATTTACGAAGCCAGGTTTTAAAAAAATTGCAAAAAAATGTGATAAGGGTGAATTTTTTTATTTTAAAGGCACATTTCTTTTCAATCGCATTATTTGGTTTTTCCACATAGGTTTCTTTTGAAATAAATTATAGGAAATAAATTATCAAAATATGTTCTTCTAAAAATATTTAAGACTTCCTGCCTTGATCGAGGTGGAGTGTTGGCTGTTGTGAATTCATCACAACAGATCACAGATGCCTTGAGCTCGGCACCATCAGGTACTTATAGTTTAGAATCAATGAGTCAAATCAATGAGTCTTATTGGCAGCATTCATGAATGAAATTTCTTAACTCGGTAGCAATGTACAGTTATGCATCCATTGATTAAACCATAATTTAAGGTAATCTTTAATGCCACCCCAGCCCTCGATTCTCATCTGATCGCGCTGGACATGTATTATTTAAGTATTTATTTTCTTTAATTGGGAGAAAATTTATGCAGGAGATATTCGTGTAGCCCATGGATGTTGTTTTGAACATCAGTGTTATGGCATCTGTGTAAGTCCAATTTTAGCCTACACATGTCTCCCTTTTGTTCTGTTTTTATATTCACGTCACATAGTTAATGTATGGTGTCTTTTGCTTTACCCACCCCTTCCTTAAATGGGATAACGCTGCTTACGTTGGATTACCTTCTATTCGTCATGTGACTAAATGCGGAGAATTTCTTTACTACAGCGTACTGATTTAATCCTTATATATAGGTAGGCAGCTTTCCAAGGTATGGAGTGATATTTGCTAATATTTCTACATCTATACGACTTGTTGTTCTGATTGCTTCGTGCTGCTTTTGTGCCCGTTCTGGTCCCCCTTTCTTTGCGAACATGGCCACCTCTTCGCTATTGTTTATGTGCGTGAAATAAAAATGTGTTCAGTGGCGTATCATTACTTTTTAGACTGAGTTGCCTATCCAACCGGACACCTAGATTTGTTTTGTAAAAAAGTAGGGGAAGGGGAGCATGTTGCTTTATAGGATACTGTGATTTTCTCTTTGACACCATTGTTTCTTGGGGGGGGGGGCACTTTTCTGTCTCCGTGTTGTTTATTTTTAGTTTCTACTTTGCACAGAAGGTACTGAGCTTGATTAAATCTTCGTTAAGATACCTTGCAGTTATACCTGTATGCCATATCACAAGGTCATCAGCAGTTCAACCGGAAGGTCATTACCGAATATTAGTAAAATGGGTGCATCATGTGACGAGCCTTGTGGGGGCCCCTCTTTCCGGACACTTTATAATGAGGAGGCATAATTTTTTGTTCGGGTAATACCTTCATGAAGGGAGAATTTTAACCACATGTAGAGCTTTGAAGAAGCCGTGCATTATTTGGCTTTCAATGTAAACCGTTCGACAAAACTCCATCCAAGACCTGATGAAGTTCAGTAAAATATGATGAGTTTGTATTTTTTGTCTTGGAAACTTTTGGCTTTGGCGGGAGTGTTGTTCCTTTAGACACTGTCCAGCTCTGGAGCTAGCTTGGTGTTATAGAGGTTGCAAGTGGACTAAAGCCACCAATAGAGTTGATTTTTGTATCTTTCTTTCTGCATGTTTTCCAATGCAGGAAGTCAGGAATGGGGTTCTATAGCTCCTGATATTACATGCAGGCTTTTCTTATTTAAAGGATTTATACTGGCTAATCCATTGGATTTGTATTATCTGAGGGCATTGCACCCCTCCCAACCTCCTCCTCCATTGAGAGATGCATGAAAGAAACACTTAATAACGTACATTAAATTCTGAAACCTATGGATCAATGAATTATATTCCCGGATACGTCTTTGTAAAACATAGCAAATTAAGTTCTTTTTTTATATAACCCATAAGTTAATTCGATTTTTAGGAAACAAATTTAATCTTTTTTTAAAATCTTTTATATATACTTCACTTTTGTTCGTTGTAGGCTGGCTGGTCAAATCTTCGGACGGCTAATTGACCAACTTGCCATCAACCTTTCGAGCTTAAACTTTTTAAATGTAGCCTCTTTGCCAATCTATATATCTACATATACAATTCGTCAGCAAAGGTCAAACACCACCACGCAGGCTATATATAGATACGCTAGAGTGTGGTTAAATAATGAGTTCACTAGAGCGCAAAATATAATTCCCGATAACTACGCTAAATGATATATATATTTTTTTTTAATAACGCAATTTCATTTGGTGCGTAATAAATTCTTTTCGGAAATGAAGTCGTCTCAATTTAAGTATTGTGTAAAAAAAAATTTGATTTAAAAGTGGTTGGGACATGAGAATATTAATATAGTTTAGGGGCGTGAAATAAAAAGTGTGCAGAGACGTATCATGGGGGAAGGGGTGTAGCAAATATTGGGATTCTTAAATGTGCATTACTTGAGTTCATGTTTTGTCAAGTAACTTTGTAGATGGGATGTTCACGCCGCCAATGTTTGGTTGGCTCTATCTAGTAACAATATATTGTTTGATTTGTAGTGGTACCTTAATGTTATATAATATGTAAAAAGACTAGTCTAATAATTTGCGAAAGTATTTTACAATTAGAATAATGGCCACATCAATTTATTTAACGATTTTATCGGGATACTAACGGTGGGTCCTTTGCAATCAACGTTGTCTCACAGGCTCGTACTGGATTGGTGCCCGTAAGGAGTCAGACACGTGGACTTGGTTAAATTCAAGCACAGAAGCAACACAACTGGCCAAACTTTGGGCTGCTGGCCAGCCAAGTACTCTGAATCTATATGACTGCGCTTATGTTAAACCCTCAAATGCATACAGTGCCTACTGCGGTGACTCTAAGAAATTTCTGTGTATGGAAATAGGTAAGAGCTGTATGGTTAAATTTTAAATAAATTTTGCGTTGTAAATATTTGTGTCTGCAATTAAAATATTTATTATTAAAGTATCGCTAAGCTCATTTTTTCAGGAATTTGTTTATAAGTGACTTTTTAGTTGAAATACATGTATATTGGTTTATTTCTATTTTTCCGAAGAACAATGCAGAATATTAATTGTCATAACAAATAATAATACATTTTACAAAATCACAGATCGTTACTCGATATTTATTTTATTTGATTTGAGCAAATACCTAAAGATGGTTTTTGTATATCTTAGTTTAAAAATCAACAATTCTCTTTATTTTTCTGTTGACCTAAAAAATTTATTAACGACCACCGCTGTGCCATTGACATCAACCTCAACAGATATTCAAACAAACAAACATTCAGACCGAAATCAATCAGACGTACAATTTTTTGCTTTAATCGTATATAAGTAGATTAAACATTGATTGGTACAATAATTTAGATATTTTAATATGTCAGAAACCTTAAAATATATTTCATACTACTAGTACCAAGGATTCAGATATTTCTTATCTTGGCGAATCCATGTCCTTCACTGGATTGTATCTATTATTTTGTTGACAACTTTCACAACGGATTCAAAATATCTGTGGTTTTGACAAGCGTATACAGTATTGGTATTTACAATTTGTATTTTAAAAACATATGTTTTAACTTTCAAATAATTTAAAATGTAATTTGTATTTTAAAAACATATGTTTTAACTTTCAAATAATTTAAAATGTAATTTGTATTTTAAAAACATATGTTTTAACTTTCAAATAATTTAAAATGTAATTTGTATTTTAAAAACATATGTTTTAACTTTCAAATAATTTAAAATGTAATTTGTATTTAAAAATCCCTAAATATCTTTTCTCAACCAAAAAAAAAAAAGATGTAGCTAGCACAAAATCAAGTACTTCTGAATTAACGACATCTCAATCAGAGTCTATCTCTCAGACTACCCAACCAGCAACAACTGTTACCAGTGCCCCGGAGTCCACCAGTGCTCAATCAGATACTAGCTACCAAACAACGTATCCTACAACCATCATATCGAGTACTATAGAATCAAGCACAAAACACACAGGTTCCCTAAATGAAACGATTGGGGGCTTTACGTCCAACGCAAGAGTGGATCGAATTTCAATTGTCTCGACTTCTTTAATTTATGTATTGGGAAACCTTATAACAGTATTATTTACCACAAACCAGCAGGTGAGGCTGGATTGATTCGGATTTTATCCATCCATTAATTTTAAAAGTGGTGTTTATTTGGAAAATGTATCAATTTCAATGGGTAATTTTGTTAATTTTAGCGTAAAATTTGTTGACAGTGGATTTAATTATCGTAACGCCTTTAAAATGCACACAAAAAAAATGTACGAAGGCATGACGATCACTTAACGTCATTGGGTGACAGCTTCCACTTGCAAAAATTAACCAAACATTTATTATTTACTTTTTTTATTTAAAAAATCATCATACGTTGTCTTTTCTTTCGTCTGTGAAAAACAGAACTTCCAACGTCATCGCTGATCAACTCGTCAGCAGACTCCTTACACGCAGACTACAGTTCTCAAAATACGGTTATTATTCAAGTTAATACAACCCTAAAAAATACTGGAATTATTCAATTTTCCATATTCCATAATGTGTTTATTTTAATTTTTAGCATAATATTTTACATGTTACTCTATTTCCTTTACTCATAATTGTTATCTTGAAATATTCATAAGAGTTTGAAGCTAGGTTTGAGACACTGTGATGAATATGTGTCATTACGGTGTCTCTCTCCATTGCTTCAATTTAAAAATATATATATATTGCCAATTTTGTAGATTTTTACAAGTGTGTGTTTACTTTATACAATCAAATATTTTTTTTTTCTAATTTGGTTCTTTCCATTTCTTTATTTATTATCCATGTTTAATTCATTTAAGATAAAAGAAATGTCAACTAATATTAAAAGGCTAGTTGAATCTGAAAAATTACATTTAATAAAAAGACTTTACATTAAATACCTTACGCGTATGTTTACTTTATACCATCAAATATTTTTTTTTTCTAATTTGGTTCTTTCCATTTCTTTATTTACTATCCATATTTAATTCATTTAAGAAAAAAGAAATATCCAATAATATTAAAATGCTATTTGAATCTTAAGAATTACATTTAAACAAAGGTCTTTATATTAAATACCTCACGCCATTTATTCTACACTAGCGAGGACCCAGCATGTGTTACAATAGCACTCAAAGAAACAAAAATGTCTTTGTGTTTTAATTAGGTATTTAAGTAATTTTTAAACATAATGTTTTTTGTTGTCTTTTTTGTGCGTCTGGTGCGTAAACAAATTAATAAGACGGTTTTTCGAAGCGTGAGCAGGCAACATACAACTGTGCACGTGAGCAGGCAACATACAACTGTGCACTTGAGCAGGCAACATACAACTGTGCACGTGAGCAGGCAACATACAACTGTGCACGTGAGCAGGCAACATACAACTGTGCACGTGAGAAGGCAACATACAACTGTGCACGTGAGCAGGCAACATACAACTGTGCACGTGAGCAGGCAACATACAACTGTGCACGTGAGAAACATGGGTTTTTAAAATGTAGTAAACACAAATGTAGCGATTGATCCATCCATTCAGTTGCTATGTTTGAAATTATATTGATATAGGTCACATAAAAAAAAGTAAGGCCCCCCGGCTTAAAACGCAAAATTGTAATATTATGTTTGGACTAATTCAAAAACCTACTTATTATGTCACGCACAAAATGAAATGTCGCTTGTATTTGATTCAATTACATACACCCATTCAATAACACTGTTTGAAATTAAATTTCTATAGTTCATATAAGGAAAAGATAATCTAGTGCTCCCGGAATTTTTCAGAATGGAAAACATTCCGAAAATTTGCCGAGGTGTGCTACCAACTTACCAAAGTTTATCGCAATGAGATGAATGTTATAGGAACGCATATAGAAATTATATTTAGCTCATAAAAGAAAAAAAGGAGAATTTAGGGCCGCGGCCTAAAACGGAATATTGTAAAATGTGTGTAACAAATCAGAAAAATTTTCGGGCGTGTGTACATCAACTCACAAAAATTTTATCGCAACCGGGGTGAGTTGTATAAAAGCGCATATGGGACACTCATAAATACATTAATTTTTAAATAGGTATATATAAGGTTTACCGAAAAAAATATACATTTTGCGCAATTATTCATGGAAGCGTTCAGTCTGTGCTTCCATCTATCTAGTAATCGATCCGTCCATCCATCTATCTATTATTCCAAATATCTATAAACATCCATCTATCCTTACCTTCAAAGAATATCTATCATCTATCTATCTATCTATCTATCTATCTATCTATCTATCTATCTATCTATCTATCTATCTATCTATCTATCTATCTATCTATCTATCTATCTATCTATCTATCTATCTATCTATCTATCTATCT